AGTTCTAATGAATAAGTAAGTGTCTGTTGTACGTGATGTTTTGTTATGTTTTGTTCATCGTTGTTCCATAGCTTGTTAATCTTGTTGGATGATCTCTTTTGCTCACTTAACACGTTATGGTCATTACATGCTCATAGTCTTCATTAATCTATCTGCGTTTACATCTGATGAGATATTTAAATGTTGTAAATCTTTACGATTATTTTCAAAAATTCATTTTGAATGTCTCTTTCAGTTTCGTTCGCCAAATAGTTTTGTTTTCAAAAAACCAGTTTTAACTGTTTTCCATTGTTAGCACATTTATAATGCAAGTAATACGTTTCAAATGAATGTCTTATCATTAATTTGATCGAGGAATTCCATCGTTCTTGGTGCAATCGCTATTGTAATCGCTCAACACATACGTTGTCAATTGTTTTCCTCCAATTCTGATAAAGTAAATTTCACATTAGGTTTGTGTTAGGTGAACTGCGAGAAAGGTCGTTTTCTTAATGATTCGATTGAAGTACCTTTTCGATTGGATGTATCTCGCAATGTGCGACAAAGCAGAAGGTTTTCGTTGAAGTTAGAATTTCATGTATTCTATTTGTTGGTCTAAACTTAGTCAAATTTAATTATCAGCTATATTGTCGCTGAAATCATAGTGTGCATATTATCGCAGGTGTGAAAGATATTCAGAACAGAGCATTCATTGAAATGTATGCTTATCAAGTTTTTGGTGAGATCTTATGTGATTCCTGTGAAATGAATGCATCGAAATGTGCGAACGCCAATTTCCGCTTATTTGAGGAAGTTTTTCTTTATAGCACTATGAAAAGAACATGGAACATCGACAGTAGCCAGTTAAAAGAAGTAGGAGAAACTGGAACAGAATCATCATCATGCGTTTCGACGGATCATTCGTCTACTACGAAGATTCACAAACGCGAACCAAATCCTCCGAATCTCAGCAATCGATTATATTTTACAAAGGTTCATGTAACTTCATCATTTTGAATACTTACTCTGCGATAAATTCATTGATTCATTTCACTGTTACTCTAGCGATTTGATTGGATCAATAATTTGATTCACTCGAAGCAAAGATTTGTTTAAAGAATAGGAGTTCTACTATGTTACTTTATTCATGAATGAATGGTGTATCAGTGGATTTCGAGCACAAATTTATCGAGCTTATTTTTTTTCTTAAATTTAGATATCAGGTCATCCACACCGATTCAACACAAATGCATTGTCTTTGAGAGAATTGTTGGAAGCGATCTCTCCAGTAGCATCAATCCACTTCAATTTCATGGTCGATTTCCCGTGGTTGTTTGCGTCAGTTTTGTGTCACTAAATTAGTTGATCATATGGCTTTCCAACCACAATAGCAAAATCTTTTTCGTATTGTAATATGCCACCAGGGATAGTAAAGATAATATCAGTTGCACGTTAGCGTGATTTTGAATTTGCTTTGTGATTGCAGTCAATATCCGCGACGTTGCTCAATGTCACCGATGACCATAATTGTTGGTGAAAGTAACGGTACAAGTCAAGCTGAGATACGTGCTGATGCAAAGAAATGTGCGTTCGAAAATCTGAGCGTTGGACGTGCTCGACTACCGATTCCGTTCGGAACACATCACACGAAGTTGTCAATTTTCGAAAGTGATTCTGAACGGATTCACGTGATTATTTCCACTGCAAATTTACTGCAAAACGACTGGGAATCGAAAACACAAGCATTCTATCACTGCAAAGCGAACATTGTTAGTTGTTGGCCCGTAGCAACTTTGATTCAACGTGAATTACTCTCTGCGATCCGTCATTAATGTCAACCAATGTTATGTAGAATTCTCGTTTAGACATCATTTGAAAAAATGAATATTCATATTATTTGTTGTAAACTTCAGCGGAATACGGAAGAAAATGAGGAGGAGAAAATCGTTGATTTTGGTAGTGATCTCGTTGAATACTTGAACGTTTATTCGTCAAGCCGTGACTTTGGAATGATTGAATATTGGCGTGATCGAATCGCAAATGCAGACTTTTCGGGAGTCGGTGCTCGAATAATCAGTTCCATCCCAGGATATCATACGGGTTCATGATTTGCTGTTCTTGAATGGAAATTCTCTTGGATCTTTCTTAGCGAGAGAAAATTTTTTGAAAGTTTTGTTTACATCCATTCGAAAATTTCCCTTCGCTTCAATCTGATGATCTGATATTCTATGATGAAAAATTATTGAGGTGGTTTGATTTAAGGTCAAGCGAAAGAGAAATACGGTCATTTACGATTACGCAACGTGTTGGCATCAATGAAATTAAAATTGCACAAGCCATCGTTCATTGCACAGTTCAGCTCTATTGGTTCACTGGGCGCTAAACCGGATAGTTGGCTTACGGGACAATTCCTCAAAAGTTTAGCCGGCGGACAAACTGCTGGTGCGTTCGCTTCATCGGAATCGTTCCAGTCATGCTATTTGCTACTTTTCGTTGGATCGTAATCGTTGAAATAATAGCAACGAAAATGAGAAGCGCTATCATTCTGGTAAAAGAAATTGTATTCATCAAATCAATTGTAGCGATATTCATAATAATAA